CATCCCTCATTAGATTAGCCTCCAATTCTTATGTCTTCTAGTGGCTGAACAGATGGGGACTGAAGTCACCTGCCCCAAAGGAAACATGCGATTTACGTAGAAATTTGTTCACATCTGTAGGTATGGCGTGTGCCCGCATACTCAATAGTCATCATCATCATCATCATTATCAACATAGGACCAGGCATTACTGCGTAACGGTCCGAGTTGCCACACCTCATATCAGCACATCAAGTAAAAAGGTAGTGAGGTGAAGGATGAAGATAAGTGAATGCAGTCAAAAGAAATATAAAGTATGAGAAGAAAGGAAAGAGGAGTGACAAAATAGTGAGATTCGGTATAGCGTTGTTAAGATGAGGATAATGTGTGTATACATCTGCGCCACTGACTTCGGTTCTGAGCCATATCACCTAGGGTCTCCAACCACTGGTTCCTCTTGTCCCGTGGACCCCAACCACCTAGTCTGCATCGTCCTACATGGCTTAAACCAAAAGTCAGAGACTTCATACATTGGTGCCATGTTTTAGTCTGGCCACCTCGGGCCTTTTTCCAGCCTGAACCCACCTCAGCCAACATTGTGTGAAGAGGCAATCGGTGACTAGGCATACGTAGTACGTGTCCCAACCATCTCAGTCGATGAAGGTTCACAACCTCGTCGACTGACTTACCTCTTCTCCCTAAAACTCTACACCTAACTTCTGCATTACTCACGTGGTGACACCACGGAATACGTCCTATACTACGAAGGCAACGGTGGTCAAATACCTGTAACCTTCTCATGTCTTCCACTTTCAATGGCCATGTTTCAGAGCCATACAGTAGAACAGAGCGGACTCAATAGTAAATATTTCTATCACGTTATGAGAAAAGATGAGTTGATGGCAAAGCCATTCCTTCTTAAGAAAATCGGTATGAAGAATTCTGACAACTCATTTAGATGTCAACCATCTGAAAAGTGTGGCATGTTTGCAATGTAAATTTCGGAGTCTGATGATACCTTTGCTTGTCAAGGAATTTTGTACTAGAAGTAGAGGCGGTGGAAGGACAGACATAACACAACGAATTTAACAATAATCAAGAGTAATTGAAGGGGAATGGTAAGATTTAAAGACAGCGTTGGTAATAAGATAGGATAAGCCTTACGAGGGTATAATTGACCTAAGGATAAACTGTTTTGCAAAACGACCGGCGCCCAGATTTGTGTTTGGTCAGCGCTTCAGCAAGCCTAAGTATATGTATACACAATTGTACAGGCTGTTTCAAAACCAATCTTGTGACCTACGTCAATAATATGTTTTGCGGTGGGCGATCGTTCAGATTACAAACCAAAAAGCTTTATGCGTTAATGGGCGAACACTTTGGTAGAGTACTCGGAAAGACTAGTCGGACTAACCCACAAAGTGACCCCCTGCCATCCAGTAAACTTTGCCAGCGCACTGGAAGGTTTCTAGCCTTGAAAGTAAACACAAAAATGTAGGACATAGTCAAAATTCCTAAGAACCCATTCTGAGTTATTCTAGTATGATTTCCGACTAAGTGCCGCATGCCACGTTCACGGAATCGTGGTCATGAAACCTCAGGCATTGTGGTGGTATAGATCACCGAGTCTTTTCTTCATTTTCCACGGCTTTGAAGTCATCGAACTAGGCGGAACGCACTTTTGCTACAGTTAGTGCAGACTGTAGGGCTATGAGGGTTGGAGACCTCCGGGTCTCTTTTACAAGTCAGGCCTCCAGATCCGGACGTTTGAGTTTTCATGGGTGACAAGCATCCGGTTGAAAGTGAACTCTCCTAAGTTTCATGAAATTGAGGGCGAGTCCATTGTAATTTGCGTACCTATGAAGTCGGGCCAAATAGTGTCGTAAAGTTAACCTTTCGTCTTTATTACCTGTTTCTCTTCATCAGTTTGTTTGACCCTGCTGGCGCTCAGAAGCTTTTGCTTCAGGCAGTCACACTGTAGCAAATAAGAAGGCGGTGAGATTAGCACAACGTGTTTGTTGCCAGCACTCCGGTGAGCCAAGGGAGCAGACAAACTTGAACAAGTATATTAAAAATTATTCATAATTGAATAGGCGTCATTGTTGAATGCAGTGCTTACAGAAGGCAGAAATCCATGACCAAGTTTACTGGGCACCACAGCTTCACATCGTCAGCAAGGAGAATAATTCAGTAAAAACACTTATTCAAGCAATACATTTATTTAAAGTAAAGGAATGACAAGCCTTGATGTAAAATTCCGATGGGCTTTACATGAGTGCTTAATCTCCGGACAAAGATGTCCCCCCCGAACCCGATGCAGTGTGTTAAATGAAATTTATGAAGCCCAGTGGCGAATGGATTCTTGTGAACTCTAACTTGTTCATGAGGAAGTTCCTGGTGACGAGATATATGCTATGGAGAAATTGACCTACGAAGGGCGCTTTCTGCCTCGCCAGTCACTAAAAGTGGTCCACCTATTTACCGAAGTGAGCAGCATCGAATCTCCTTGGACCTAGGGACTTAGCATTCTAAGCTGCATCAGCTTGATATTAAGGTCAACTGTAAGAAGTTCATCTGTTCCAATAGTGTAGTTACATGTTCCTACACGTGCCATTAGTAATGTCTCCAAATAATGGTGAGCTAAATATTCAGGTGTTCCTCTGTCAGTCTTAGCTAGCCTACCGTGGTTCACAAGGCGTTTACCGAAACAATACTGGATTGAAAGCAAATATTTTTGGAGTGGATAAATTCATATTTGCGAGCCGAGCACCGTATAGATGCATACCTCGACTCAGGCTAAACTGTCTGTTGATACATAGACAAAGTAAGTGTGACCGTAAGGCCATTCACAAAGAGCTTCTGCCTTGTAAAAATGGATGCATGGTGAGTCAGGGCGTATCAGTTTCCACGTCTGGCAGGTGATTTTGCACTTTTTTGGCTCGAGTTCCTCTACGAAGTCGAGAAGTTGTCGATTTTAAACCCACCACTATCGGTGCGTACGGGACCTGGTTACTTGAGGAATGTTGAAATTAACTTAAGATAGAATATGTGTAGCCTAGTTAAAAAAAACTCAGTCACCTCATACGTAGGGTTGTAGCAATGACAGTCTTTGAGCGGATGTATCCTGAGGTAGCCGACTAGACATATTAGAGTTGCAAAACTGCACCTGCCTGTTGAAACAGCTGAGATCTTGGTTACCAACCTGATAAGCTGCAAGACAGCAACCGATGTACATGGCCGTCATGTTTCTTTCAAGAGAAGAAATGTTAACACTGAACGACATGTTACAGACAGCCTGTTGTGGCCCTCGTGTTACAGTGGAAATATATGGATCTTTAACAGGATGAGCAAAAGCACGCTCATTAGTCCCTATGAATCACCTAGTTTATAGGGAAAACTCAAAATGTAGGTGTTGATGTAGGTGAAGCTCTAAATTTTGGGTGCTTTGATGAGGCCTTGATAATATCCTATCATCGAAAAATCTTCAAGAGTTAGGGCTAGAAACGTGCAGTTGACCGGTGGTCTAGTCACCGCTCTGTCCTGACATTTTGATTGTAAACCAGACGGGCTTTCACAAACTTACCGTAAACTTTTGGAAGCAAACCGTTCCTCTTTGCTCGGAATAAGTCCAGTGTAGCCATAGACGTGTGGGATGGCGGAAATGATAGTTTGATTAGCTAGCAACTAAGGTTCTTATCATTTTTTGAAGCTAATAGGTTCTGGATGTGCACTGTAAATATGTTTCTGACTGAGGTTTCTGTTGTTAAGGTACATAGATCATTCACTGACCATAACTGCGGAATTGCTACCATAAAACCAAGGTCCAGGGGGCTCACCTAAGTGCTTTCTGAACTTCATGAGATTAAAGTGTGGAGTATAGGATAAAACTTGTAGTTCTCCTCTAAATTCGCGCAACTGAGGAGTTTAGATTATATCTTGTATGGCACAAAACTTGAAGATCATAAGTTTCTCGGTTTCCTGGATTTACTTCAGTCAGGAACACGATAACGGTAATCTATTCAGCCGGCTGAATTGAACCTTCTTGTTTTTTCTGACAGATCTCCACCTTTCATTTTCGTTCTAAAGGCTGTGCAGGATATCGAGAGATGTGTCAAGAGCGTTTAAACAAGTGCTGCTTACATTAAAACCGTCACCAGAATTCAACAGAAGTCCGCATACATGACCGGCTTGTCTCATATATTTGAGAGTTGTCTCTGAATAACTTAGATTAACCAGGCCTTTAGGTCACATCACCATAAACATTCGGTTTTCAAGTTAAAGTGCACCCTACGGTTTTCGAAACCATTGCCATCACCTAAAATGCAGGTGTGAGTTAGGTAACCAGCCAATATTATTTTCCTGGAGCGAAAGCTGTTTGGTCACCTTTCGCACCAAACTCCAGTAAATTATTACATCAAGGGAACTTACTAAAAGACCTAAGTACTTTGGATGTTATTTTAGGAATTGTCCTGGTGCGAGCTTGACAGACGCAGAGGCCGATCACTCAGTATTTGAACTTGTTATATACCCATGAATACGAGACCAAGAAACGACACAATAGCGTGGTCGGATGGAATAGTATATTTGCGAGGTCGTGCGGAGATATCGATGCGTTCCAACTAACTGGCTGGAGGGTCGGTTACGTGCAGTGCAACGTAACACGACAGCGTGCCAAATGGCGAAGGTGCTTGACTGGATGCCTTCGGCCTAGCGAGTCCAGTTAAACTATGAAGGTCAGCATCAAAGTTGAATCTCGTCGAGCTCCAGGCGATTGATTCTAAAGAAGTGTGTGATGCTACATTATAATGGTGTTCATTGAGTTATGCCTGTAGATAAGCTATCTCTTCACCCAATGGATTGCTTAAAATGATGCTGAGCAAATCTTAGTATGAGTGTACTCCACATTACGTTTGAAATTTAGATGTTGTTGAACACCGGTGTAGTTTGTTTTAGTATGCTAAAAAGCTAACTATCGTCTACATTTCATTTTCTCTTCTGTGTGATTTCTACTCTGGGCAACCATGGCTTCCCCGCAAATGCCCATTAAGTTTCAGGAACATCTACAGGTAACCCAAACTGCCTAATTGCAATTCAAACTTATTGTGTTTTAGCTGGTAAACATTGGAATCCAGCCTAGCAGCGTTGGTTTCAGTACTCTTACTATGGAGTCGGATAAGTTTATATGTGTTAGGGAAAAGACAGGCGAGACGTCACAAGTTGTTATTATCGATTTGAACGATCCAATGAACCCTACCCGTCGACCTATTTCAGCAGACACAATCATAATGAATCCTGTGAGTAAGGTAATGGCCCTGAAGGCTGGGAAACTATTACAAATATTCAACATTGAGTTGAAAAGCAAGATGAAGACGTACACCATGCCCGAAGATGTTGTGTTTTGCAAGTGGATATCCGTTAATACTATCGCACTCGTAACTGGCACCAGCGTCTACCACTGGGCTATGGATGGTAAGTATAAAATGTTTTGTTGACAAACTTTTAAGGGGATTCCAATCCCGTCAAAATGTTTGATCGTCATCAGTCTTTGGGAGCTAACTGCCAGATTATAAGTTACCGCTGTGACTTGAGCCAGAAGTGGCTGCTACTCATTGGCATAGCTGCGCAAGACAATCGGGTTGCTGGATACATGCAGTTATACAGCGTAGAGAGGAAGGTTAGCCAGCCGATCGAAGGTCATGCTGCTGCTTTCGCACGGTATAAGGCTGAAGGCAACAGCAGTCCATCTACCTTGTTTTGCTTTGCATCGCGCAACGTTCAAGCTTGCAAATTACACATAATTGAGGTTGGTCAGCCGCCTGCTGGGAACCAACCTTTTGCCAAGAAGGCTATTGACGTTTACTTCCCACCTGAAGCACAGAATGATTTTCCAGTTGCTATGCAGGTATGTGGAACAGTGTATTTTTATTATCCTTAGACTTCACCCAAGTACGACGTAATATACTTGATAACAAAAAGTGGATATTTACACCTATATGATATCGAAAGTGGTACATGTATATATATGAATCGCATAAGCAGCGAAACTATATTTGTTACTGCACCTTATGAACCAACTTCTGGTATAATCGGTGTTAACAGAAAGGGTCAGGTAAGCGTTGTTGTTTGCCTTAATTGTTGGATGACCTATAGACCATTTTCGTTCAAACGTTTATTTTCTGATTGCTTGTGTGGTTTCTATTGGTCCAGGTATAGTCTGAGACTGGTGTTCAGCTGTGGTCATAAAGTGCAGTTAACACGTTTCGAAACAGGTCTACTTACCGCCATCTCTGTGGGTATATTTGATTTGAAGGCGTCCCATATTATTTAGTGAAGGTTCGGGCACGCTTGTCTACACCTTACTGGACGCCGATAAACCATTGCAAGCGCAGCTTGGTGATGAGAATTAAGTTGCTTCCAGTAAAAAATAGCTCTACTTTTATCGAGGCAGGACGATGTCATTAATCTAGAAGAGGCTTGGTAGCGTTTCTTATCAGTTGTAAAAACAGCTTTGAAGACCATAACTGGTTTTTTAAAGTGTGGAGGTGGTGGATCTCGGCAGCTCCTTCGAAATTAAGGAATGAAGAGCGGGAACAAAAGTAATGTAGACTGACGAAAAGTACGCAATGACCGCGAACAGTGGTGGGCACCGAAGGTTGCGTAAATGAAAGACTTAATCGATACATAACAGTAGGTAGTTGTTTAGACTGACAATGGTTAGTAAGACTATAGCGGAGAAAGATGGGTTTGCGATTCCGCTGCGGAAAAGATGATTGGAACACATCGGGGAACTAGGGTTTCAAAGATTCCTGCGGAATTAATTACGAACAGCGTGGACGAAGAATATTCTTTTCAGTAAATTCACATCAGATTATAAGTTTAGCGTAAAAAAGCCAAGTTTGAGGTGAAGGACCTAATCGCCCGTTTCACTAAAGGAACTAGATGACAGAAACATCCCATCAACTTTGTTCGAAAACCTATGAGCAACACGATTCCACAAATGTATGGTCCCCCAAAATGCACAAGCATTAGGTGTCCCTTTATCCTAGACGTGACCAACTGATCAAGCGGTTGCCAAATCACCAGTGCGATTCAACCTTTGCGTGATGAGTTAGAAAAATATATCGTGAAAACCTTGGAGTTTGTGTACAAAGTAGAGAGCTCAAATGTGTTAATCAAGTGTGCGGGACCTCAATAATGTCCTAATTGGAAATGTGGACTAAGTTTGCAAACAATTATTAGAGAGAATTAGATTCTGGCATTCCATTATGCATTTGAAGGAACTATATAACACATAGTGAATGCCCAGTTCTTTCTTAATAGTAATTTATAGAGTCAAGTTTGATGGAATAGCCACGCGAGTCCCACTGGGCCCTGTATTTGCAGAAATATTTCTGACAGTTAAAAAGCGGCCCTTTAAAATATGAGACTGCCAATATGGAATTATAATGTCGATATATGGATGATAAGATGATAAATCTCCGAATGATGTACAAGATGCCTGGTCCACGTCCACATTCTTTACGGTTGGGTAGTTTTTCAGCTGCTCAACTGTGGTGTCAGCTGGCTAGACTAAGGTAGTGTGAACAATTCAGCTCCGTGATCTAACCTTTACCAGGCACACCGTCTATGTGCTCGACCCCAAACGCACGCACGAAACAGCTACCCGGTGTTTAAATCACTCCAATCCGTCTGGTAAAATCAACCGATCAGCCAGTGTCTTCTAGCTACTCAAATTGTTCAGCAGTGTATGTAGATGATTACCTTTTTAGTCTAATGAATGCCTGTATGGTAGTTCTGTTCTAAAGCAAATCAAGAGCGTTCGTCCATCCGTTCATTGTACTCATGGGAGTGCAATCAATGATTCTATGCGTTTTCTTGTGCTAACGACAGGAAACGGTGGCTCAGTGTAAAGACGATGACTAAGATGCACATGTTTTTCAGCTCAGTACCAATGAGGTAAAATGCAATCGAATCAGATGCCTAGCACTTGGATCGATTTGTTCCAAATGTGTGGAACAACTGTGCATCCATGTTGTAGGTGAAAATGGATACCCTGAAATGTTCATCAAAACTGATATCGCCCACAATAATCCCAAACGCATATATAGAAGTTATCTTACTTCACTGAGATTGATCTTGTAAGACTTAGCATACGTAGAGTACGCAGATGGCATTCCTGTCATGCGGCAGGATGCAGAATCTTCCGCGCACATTGAGTGGCAGTTTGAGAATTTTCGGGATGCGTTTCTTTACACCCAAATGCGAATTGTACCGTGTCTAACAATAGGTAAGGAAGTACTTGAGTGGATTGATCGGTTCACTTGCTTTGAAATTATGACCGACCTTGATGGTGCAGTGATCGACGAGATCTATGAAGTTTGCTCATCTTTCCCCAACTTAAGCCGTTTGTGGCACCATCGTGATGTTTTATTGTCCGTTACGTTTGAGTGTGATGTGCTACGGTTCCCTGTGTTCTACTGTATGAAAAGTGATCAATAAAGGTAGAGGATATGAGAGGGGTTCAGGTGTTTAGCCACTGTCATCTTCGTACCATAGGCCGGATGTCGTGTGGTCACCGCATGAGTGACGTAACGTAGGCGTAGAGTTTTGGGAAGAGGATGAAAGTTAGTTCAAAAGGTTGTGAGACATCAGTGATGCAGGTGGATGAAATATATGTTACGCGTGCCTTTCTACCTTGAAACCTATCTTGGTAATCTCAATAACATCAATGGTGCGGTGTATTATTACTCCTCATAATCCCCTATTTTTCAGATTTTGTCTTATCCCAATTTGTTTACTTCACTCCACTCTGTTTTTACCTTTCATATAAAAATCCCTTGACAGGTAAGTGTACAGTCAGATTGTTCGAATCATTGTAGAAATACGTCGCATTTCTCATGCAAAATACCTCCTTATTACACTGCAAACTCATCAAAAGGGCTAATTGTTTAAAATATTCATTAATGGGAGGTTGTCATCACATTTCTTGATTTGAGAGTGGCACTTGACTTTGTGGATACAGGGAACTTACAGCAGCGTAATTTAAGGTTCTAGTTAAGTACGCTGCATGACTAAAAGCTGTTCACTCGGCCATATTAAAACTTTGGTGAAATATTGTCTGAAATGGTCACGTTGTTGCACACAAGTACTTGCCTTTCATTTTCATCCAGCTTTCATGAATCTGCTTTAAGAAATCAACTAATTATCAGATTCCTAAGTAAGCTTGAAATGTTACCATTGTGTAGTCTTGCTGGCCGAATGTTAGAAAAGTGGTCTGAAAGCCTAGACAAAGTCAATCAAACCAACATAGGATCTGGCACAAGTCCATCGGCTTAATGTGCCACACTTCACAGCGGCATCCAAAGAAACTGATAAAACAAAACTGAATGATTTCTATTGTGTGTGGGCTACCTGGCTGGCCAAGCTTCGCTAGGTGGAGCGGTGTTCGAACCCGTTACCCACCAAATAAAACTCATCTCCCTAAACCAATGAGCCGCAGATCCACAACGAGGTCCCCAGGCAGCCTACGTGGCCCAAATCAGTCAATAACTTCATGAACTTCTGCCAAGTCTTTTTCTGATCACCCATTACCTTCCACTTCAATTCTGCTCAGACTAACTCCGTACTTCGAGGTAGTTCTTGGCTCAGCATGAGTAACATAACTCCAAACCATCTCAGTAGATAAAAGTTTGCCACCTGTTCTATTCTTTTCCTATCCTCATTTCATTATTAGTATTTCACTTTGTTCTTTGCTGACTACGTTTGTAGTTCAAAGTAATCCTGGATAACCAGGTTCTTTATGATACGATTTGGTATCATGCATCACACGTTTAGTTTTCGTTCTTTTATTCTTTCCATAAATTTTAACTCACGTTTAGAACTAGAATGTCGTACGTTTGTTCTTTTTTTAGGTACTTTCTGTTAGTATTGATGAAGATACAATTATCAGCTACATAACCACTACACTGGACAACCCGACGCTTGCACTCCACATGGCTACCAGATGCAATCTTCCCGGAGCAGAAGACTTATTTTTCAGGAAATTTGACTCTCTTTTTCAAGCAGGTCAGTACAACGAAGCTGCCAAATTGGCAGCAAATGCTCCAAAAGGAATCTTGCGCACACCACAAACAATTCAGCGTTTCCAACAAGTATGTTTTGATTAACTGCTAGGAAGTTTTTACTAGGTTGTTTGTAACTTGAAGTGATAATTTGACATTACTCCCAATATTTGGATGTAAGCATATCTTCCTGCGCAACCAGGTTAACATAATCTTCACTCAGAATAGCTTGTACCTTTAGTTTCTCGATGTTTTCTCTGTTTTCATTTGATTGTGTGTGAATTGTTCCAACCTATTGCGTTTAGCACATCTTCATACAGATTGAGCTTATTATGACACTATCAGTTATCTGATCGTTCTCAGTAATTGTGAGCACTTGTAATCTTATTACAATGCTTAAAAGTATGAACCTTTGTCGGAGATTTCAGTAGTAATTTCCAGCATTTGTTCATGACTTGTGTCAGAGAAGTTTTTATGATAGATGGTGGAGTGACCCCATATACATTGATGGAGTCATTTGCTGTCTTGTGGCCTTTGCTCTTACTCTTAATCAACTATACAATTCCAGTTGTATGATTTCTACTCCTATTATTTTGTGTTCCACTCACTGGTCTTATTTGATTGGTTTATGCATCACGATAAACTTGAGTGACTCTACGTTGCATCGCAGCCACTACTGACAGCCAGTTGTGTTTCTTCACTCTGTGATAAAGCTACTTTTCTAACCGAAATAAAGAAATTTAGTTGATCACTTTAGTTGTTAGGGTGACCTTAAGAGTTTCTTAAATGTATCAATCTTCTTGAGCACTACTTAGTTTTGGGATACTTGTAAATTGGGTGCAGTTGGATTGTAGACTTATTCGTTCTCATAAGATCCAATCATCCCAGTGCAATTCTATGATGTTTCCATTTGTAGTCAGCCAATCTTCCTTTACAATCGTTTCAGAAATAAGTATACGAGTTAATAGCTTAGTGACCATATTCTAAATCGAATTCCACTCATTAATCGTTATTTGATAGCTAACACAATGTGCTTTTTTCCCTTTGTATTAGGTATCAGCTGCACCAGGCCAAACGTCAGCGTTGTTACAGTATTTCGGGATTTTACTCGATCAAGGTCAGCTGAACAAATTTGAAAGCCTAGAGCTTTGCAGACCGGTACTACAACAGGGCAGAAAGCAGTTACTGGAGAAGTGGTTGAAGGAAGATAAACTGGAATGCTCAGAGGAGTTGGGTGATCTTGTGAAGCAGGTAACTTCTGTTTTCATTCGTTTTGTTATTTTGTAGGGTTGCGTTTTTGAAAAGTATTTCACGTTGTGCGGATAAAATAATTAGTTGCAGATACTTATTTGTTGTTGGTTGGGCTTTTCGGCTGTTCTATACCTACTGGTTGCTCGTATCTCTTTCTTTCGATAACTTTCTATGACTGGATTATGCCTTGTACCTACATATATTAACGTAAAATGTTGCACCTTGAACCGTTTCGCAATAATCCCTGTTGATAATTACCTGTTAGAACTGCTGCTGATTGGCTCAAGTGCGCAACTCTCAACTCAGTTTAACCAAAGTTTGTACAAATGCGTGGTGTAACCAGGCTTTACATCGTGTTTGTGAACATGAATCTACTTGTTAAACAATAACAGCTTATATATTTATGGTACTCAGTTACTGTGGTTTTTAGTCACTGTTCTGTTTCACTTAGTGTACCGAAAAGTGGGTTTCATGGTGTTTAAAAAGCATAATAGTTGTGGGTGGTCGATGCTTCGCAATTGCTAATGCTTACTTTGGGTAATGTCTGTATGAGTCACTCCGAAAAATGATGCATCAGAAGTCTTTGTGGCAACAATCTTAACATTCTATCCCACGTATTATAACAAAATACTGATACTTTATATCCAGCACTGAGAACCATCCCGCTTTTTTCACCATTCCTTTGACAACGGCTAGGAAATTCATAGCAAGAACCTGTTGTAAAGGCTACATTCACCTAGCTTTCTACTAAATCGATTGAAGTACCACCTTTACTTAAAAATTCAGCGTAATGATTTCGTAATTTCATAATTGTACACTAAAATACAGTATCATCTAGTTGGTTAAGTTTCGAATTTAAGTTTTTATTTCTAGACATTTATATAACCTGATAGATTCCAGTTGCTATTTTTAAAGCTGTAGTCACTTCTGTCCATTTAACATTATTTGTTTTTTCCAGATGTACGAGATAAGTGTCAGACCATTCGTATTAAGTTTTCTGAATCCTAATTCACCTAACTACAGGTACCATGTGGTTTTCCGATCTATAAGCTCTTATTTGCTTCCCTTCTACGTGTTAGACTCGGATATGTAATCGAATTTTAACCAGCCCTCATATGGTTGGGTCAGTTATAGTGTTTTGGTAGTATCCCAGTTTACTTATCCTTTAAGGTTTATTTCAATGTCTACGTGTACTGAATTAGCTTAGAGATTTCAAATAAATGTAGTGTACTTACATATACCGTTCTTGGCTTGTAGTCGACATTTCTTTGGTAGGAAAGTCAGTTGTTATGTTTATTCGCTCCAGTTACACTAAAACTATTGTATAGTAACTTCTTGGAATTAGTGCCATCGTTTGTTAAATAATAAATTTCTGTCGTTGTTGACGTTCCTTATTCTATAGGCGGATCCTACTTTGGCATTATCTGTTTATTTGAGAGCGAATGTACCACCGAAGGTCGTACAATGTTTTGCCGAAACTGGTCAGTTCCAAAAAATCATAGTTTATGCAAAAAAGGTCGGTTATACACCGGACTACATTTTCTTGTTGCGCAATTTGACTCGCATCAATCCCGATCAAGGTTTACAGTTTGCTCAGATGCTGGTCCAGGATCAAGAACCACTAGTAGATTTAGAACAAGTTGTTAATGTTTTCATGGATCAAGGTCTGGTGCAGCAGTGTACATCATTCTTATTAGATGCACTAAAACATAATCGGCCATCCGAAGGACATCTTCAAACCCGTTTATTAGAGATGAATCTCATGTCAGCTCCTCAAGTAAGTCATGTTTTTTAGTGGTTGTCAATCGGTAGACAAACTCAAAACGTTTTGCATTTTTCTGACCGTTGCTGTTATTTATGTAAATAAGGACATCGTGAACTGAGCAGTCGTATACGGTTTCTAAGTGTGACCAGTTATTATCATGTTGAAAACTTCAAAGTGAATGTTTAGACCTTTTATTCTGGCGTGAGTCGAGCTGTAGCTCAATAATGTAAGTACTGAACATTAAATTACTGACTAACTTCCCACTATCTACCTAAATTTCAGTTTCAACAGCGTATTGTCAGTGATTATCCCTCATTGGATGTGGCTCACAACCGTACTTGAAGATGTAGTGGGTTATTGAGTTAAATAGTCTAACATTCTATTCGGGCATATTCCGATGTCCTTATCCTCGTGTTTCATCATACTGTCCCACTTACTGATGTTATTGTTTTATACAATTCTGGAGTCATTATACAAGTAACGACATCTGTTTGTATTGAGCATAAAGCAGCCACGCTTGTGCTTAATTTTTGTGTCAACCATCAAGGGATAACGTATCCTTTGTGGGAATGCATAATTATTGTATTACGAAGGACCAGAATGTTTCCAGTTCGATAACTGTAGCCTAACAGGTTACTGGTAGCCTATTTACAGATTATTACTATTATTTGTCTCTTTGTTTCCTCGTGAAACATAGGGCTTCAGTAGCACGTCTCCATTCCACTCTCTTCTCTGCAGTCTTTTCAACCTGGCTTCACGACTGCCCAGAAGCTTTCTTTTCTTCCTCATATGATCTCCTCCATGTCATCCTCAGCTAGAACGACCAACTCATCGTTTCCCCTTGAATTCCACTCAAGGGCGTGGCGCGTGTTGTCCCTAATCGGCCTTCTCAGTGTGTGCCCAATTTAATCCATCTTCACTTTCTTCTGCATGTTTGTTAGACGATGGGTTCTTGCTTCGTTGGTTCGTTGCCAGCCAGCCAGAGTTCCTTGTTGCTTATTCTTATTATTCTGGTCATCTGACCTTCAGTGTCAGTATGGAGTGAGTGTAGGCAGCAGTTGTTGATGAATATCTGTAGTTTGTTGGAAATGCTTTTCGTAACGCGCCAAGTCTCCCTACTGCCACCCAGAAGCACTGACTTGACTGAATTAGTGTTGAAAGTCCGGATATTGTTCACGCTTTATGCTGAGTGGAGTGGAGTGGATCTCCACACTAATTATTTCAGACTAATGCAGGAAGGCCTGTCTCGCTGTCTTTCTAATCCTGGCTTTGACATCTTTATCTGTGCCCGTGCCACCTGTAGTTGAAGCGATGCTGCCTGGGTAGATTTCTCCTGTTGGTGGTGATTGGTGCCTGTTGTTGTTGTTGTTGGCTGGGTATCTTCATCACCTCTGTCTTCTCTACATTCACTTGAGGTCCCGACCACGCTGCCCTGCCTCTTCTGTCAACCTGCTGGCTTTTGCCTGTAGATCTTTGAGTTTGTGTGATATTAGGCACAAATCATCATCGGCGAAATCGAAATCTTCTAAGGTCTTTTTATCGGTCCAGCGTATACCCGTCTTCTCGCTCCTCACAGTTTGTTGGATGATCGAGTTCAGTCGACTACAATCAGGAAGATCATAGGCGGCAACCTTGTCTTACTCCTGTCTTCACTGTAAACGCTCCACTGAGCTTTCCATTGTGAATCACTTGGTAGGTGCCACCTTATAGCATACAGCCGTTGAATGAGGTTGATAAACTTTTGTGGTATTAAAACTGTAGTGTTTGAGTAGCTGCCTGCCAAATTAGTTTTCGATTGACGCTGTCGAAGACCTTTTCAAAATCGATGAAGTTGAGGCAGAGAGTTGACTGCCATTTTATACTCTGTCGTATGGTGATGCGTAGCGTGGTGTTGCAATTTGATGCGTACATGATTTGTTCTTCCTAAAACCAGTCAGCCTGTTCCGGTGGTAGTTTTGAATCCAGCATATCTTTTAATCTCTCCAGTATGATGCAGTAACTTTCCTTCCTTCCAAAGCTTCTGCAATAGTAGTGTGAGCGTGTTCGCTATTATCTCTGCGCCTGTTGTCAGTGCTTGTGGAGGAATTCCATCTGGTCCCACTGCTTTCCCGGATTTTAGTAACTTTATGACGTTCAGGACTTCGACTTTTGCCAGAGGGCTTGTGTTCACTGGTAATTCTGTGCCTCGGCTGCTGGTTGTATTTTTGGACGAGTTGCAGGTGGTGGTGGTGGTGGTCGATTGAAGATATTTGTGAAGTGGTCAGCCCATCGTTTCCTTTGTTTCTCCTCTTTGGTGTTAACTAGGTTTCCTTCACTATCTTTCACTGGTTTCGTCTGTGTTGATTTCTTCTCACTAAACAGTGACCTGAATATTTGATGTAGTGTTATCAGGTCTCTGTCTCCCACCAGCAGTCTGTTCTGCTGCACTTGCCAATGTGTCGTAGAAGTGTCTTTTGTCTTTGCGCCCACTCTTCACCTCTTCACCCAGTGTAGTGTTTATAGGTTGTATTCAGTTCCTCTTTTCGTTGTTCATCCCTGCACTGCACTGCACTGCACTGGTTCACCTTCTGCTTCACCATCACCATCCTCCTCTCCCTCCTCTACCAGCTTCCATGTGTCCATCGAGTTGCATTACTTGTCTTGTTTCCTCTTACTTCCTAATACGGTTGTGCAGGTTTCTTTCCACATAGCTTTCAAAGAGTTCCAGTGTTCATCCACACAGGCTCCTTCAGTGATGTTGCTCAATATCTTCCATTTTATTCTGATGGCTGATTGACGTGAAGATGTCCCTTGTAGTTTCGTCGTTCAGTTCAGTTTCTGTTCTGGGTGTTGAACTTGAACTGTGGTCGTCAATCACCAGCTTCTTTGAATTGAAGGCTTTCAACTTGATTTTGAAGGTAGGTGCCTTGCAGCAGATAGTGAGTTGTGTGAACCTATATCTGCTCCTCTTCTTGATCTGATCTTGTGTCCAGTAGGCTGCGTCTCCACTTTCTTCACCTTGAGATGAAGTCGATCTGGTGTTTTGTGTGTCTGGTGTCTGGTGAAATCCATGTGGCTCGCTTTGTGAATATCCTTGTATTTGTACACACTGCCTCGCCTCCAATCACCAAATCGTTGAGTGGGCGGAAATCTGTAAACAGTTCTCCATTCTATAAGTGAAAAACTTGGGCACTGTGGTAGAATGTAGTTCCATATTAGATTTGTTTATTTGATATAAAGCGCACAGTGATACAGTATTATTTACTTGATTACGTTTCGAGCATAAATTATTGCTCATAATCATATCAATGTAATCACACTTCTTTCGACATCTGATTTTATAGTCCTGTCACCTGATCTCTCTTTGTTTTTTTGTTTTTTGATTGGTAGTAAAGTTTTCCATATCTCTGGTATAGGTGTTGCGTCATTCCTATTACATGTGTTGGGTGTGAATTCGATGAACAAAGATTCAGTAATTAATCTCTCTCTCCACCTAGCTATATTAGACTTAAGTACAGTGGTTTTGTCCCATCCTATTGTGTGGTTGTGTGTTAATGAATGTAATGCAATGGCTGAGTGTTTTTCTAGGTTATTGATCTTATTGGGGTCTGTCGTTCTATGTTTAGCTAAATTCCTATGTTCTGTTAATCTAACTGACCCCGACCGGCTAGTTTGACCTATGTATTTGACTTCACAGTCATTACATGGAATTTGGTAGATTATATTATTTTGCTTAATTGGTTCTATCGGATCTTTTAGCCGACACAGCTTACCTCTAAGTGAGTTTGTTGGTTTAAATGCCACCCTAATTCCAACCTTGTTGAGAATCCTACGTATGGTTTCTGATGTTCCTTCCTTGTATGGTATCACAATAGAGGTGCTGATTTCCTTTCTACTTATGTTGTCACTATTATTTGTATTTGTATTAGTGTTATTATTTTGCTTCTTATGCGTCCGTGTGAATTTCTTAATAAAATGATGGGGATAATTATTAGTTATTAACGCTTCTTTTATGTGTTTCAATTCCTTATTTAAGTCCTTACAATGACTAGTGAGTTTCTCAGCTCTGTTATTTAGACATTTGACTAAACCCGCTTTAACTGACACTGGATGAGATGACTTGAAGTCTAGATACCTGTTAGAATGTGTTGGTTTTCTGTAGACGGTAGTATCTAAACCACCATCTATCCTTCGTTTTATTCTGCAATCCAACATAGGTAATTCTCCTTGTTCATTTTCTACTTCGTAGGTGAATTGGATTGCGTTAACTACTGAGTTTATGTGTGTCAAGAAACTGTCGATATGTTCCGATTTCAACACTGTAAATGTGTCATCTACATATCGCCACCATATCTTAGGTGTCGGATTATATGTTCGTAAAGCCATATCTTCCCAACTATCCATAAATATATCTGCTACTATAGGGGATATTGGTGATCCCATTGCTACTCCTTCTGTTTGTCTGTATATCTTTCCCTGAAACTTGAAGACTGTCGAGGTTAAGCATAACTGCACTCCTAACATGATTTCACCAACCGATGCCTTGGTTCTTTGAGTAAGTTGTGAGTCAGTATCTAGTTGATTTCTGACTGCCTCCAGTGCCATATTGATTGGTATTTTAGTATAAAGACTTGTTACGTCAAAACTAACCATTTTTTCATCCTCTTCTATGTGCAGGTCATTAAGTTTTTGTTTCAACTCGTAAGAATTTACTAGTCTAGAGTTGGAACGGTCTCTAACAGGACGTAATACTGATGCTAAATACTTTGATATCTCATATGTTGGTGTGTTTCGGAAGTCAACTATCGGCCTAATGGGATAACCTGCTTTATGAACCTTAATAGTACCGTAAATTCTGCTAGGATTATTAGTTTTTGGCATTAAAGTAAACCATTCGGACTTACCTAGAGATGGCTTCAGTCGGCGTATCAGATCTGTTGTAGATTTCTTAATTTTATTCATGACAGTATCTATAGGTTTCTTAATCTCTTCATATGGCCCTGTTTGGATATGTTCATCCATTTTTTTAAGAT